GCTAACGAGATGTGTCAACATTGTTAAATAATGTCAGGGCAGAAACAACAGCTATTCGGTAACAATAACTTATCCGGCGAGAAATCTTTATCGTGTTTTTGAAAAAGTCCCCATCACGGCAGTGATTATGACATGTTTTTATTTAAAAAAGAATTTAAATTGAATTAGTCATCATCTAGGAAGTCAAATATGAAGATAAGTAACACAAACAAAACAAAAAATGTTACAAGTCAGCAACATACCACTTACTGCTGATGCACATAGGTAGAATTAGCTATATAGAGCCAATTAGTAATGTGATTTGGGCAGTGTGCCAAAGTGTATCTTTCTTTATCTTCTATTCTATTTCTTAAAGTAACATTTAAAGGAGAACTATGAGGTGAGTGATTTTCACTTACCTCATAGTTCTAGCCGACCTGTGACAATGAGACTGTCACAGGTCGGCTCAGTAGATCGGGGGGTGAGCGAACACATACTGGCGTTCGCTCACCTCTCAATCCTGTTACAGGTCTCTGCCGTGACAGGGGAGGGGCTGGATTCCCCCCTCCCCGCTCCGATCCGCCAGCGCTGACTGGCGGAACGGACGGGGGAGGGGGCGGGTACAGCTGGCTCTGCCTCTAGGTAGGCAGAGCCAGCTGTCAGTCACGCAGCTGGGCGGATCCAGACATAATAGTCGGCATCTGCTTCAGCTGCGGCGTCTCAGTATACCGCGAGCAGCAGCTTGCGGTTTATTGCGGCGTCTCAGTATACCGCGAGCTGTAGCTCGCGGTATACTGAGCTTTGGGTGATGGGAGGACGCTAGTTTGTGTCCTCCCGTTACCCTAAGGAGAACTATGGGGAAAAGCCTTAACCCCATAGTTCTCCTTTAAGTCACAATTCCTCCCCTCAATGCTGCTGTAAGGACTTATCTTAAATGATGCCTCTTGGTCCGATCATCTTCTTCCTTCCACTTGTTATCAGCAATCCCTCCAGCGCTGGTGCCGGTCTCTAAACCAGTGCAGACTCCTCACGTCCCACAGTGTCTGTCCGACATGCACGCTCACGGCTGCGTGCATTGACTGACAGTGAGTCTCTCCTCTTCTCCCCACCGGTGATCTCTACTGCGCATGCGCCCGCACACATCCTACTGCACGGCCGCTCGAGAAGCTGCAGATCTACAGCCAGGGCCAGATTTCCCACAAGGCCAATCAAGGCCCGGCCTCAGGGAAGCAGGGAGTAGAGGGGTAGCAGTGGTGTGGAATCTCCTGACGCCGGGGACATGCAGTTGTTTTCTACATTTAGCACTGCTTTGAGCAAGCAAAGCTAAATGTACAGCGGGGAAGCCGCCGCTTGTTTTGTACAAGTGATCTCAGTGATGTTGCCAAGGTCACTTGTATTCAGCCAGTAGGTCTGCCATTCTCCATGGGGGGGTTGGCGGGTAGAGGGGCGCTTTGAGGGACCTGGCCTTGGGGCAGCAGAGAGACTAAATCCGGCCCTGTCTACAGCCAGGGGTGAGCAGCAGAGACAGAGATAAGTATTTACCTATTTGGCAACTTTTTTATTTTTGTTAATGTTTGTGCTGACACTGTCCTTCCTTCTGGAGGGGGCTACTTGTGTTCCCCATGGTCCCTGTGTGTGTTATTAAGTAGCCACCACTCCAAGCTCGCTCCCGGACTACAATCTCAATACAAATTAGCTACCTAAACGTGAGATTGTAGTTCAGCCCGGGAGCAATCTTGGAGCAGGGGTGCACATACGCAGTGAAGTGTACACTCCCGCCCTCTGTATGATGCTATAAAATGTAGCCTAAAGTCAGGATGGTGGAAGCCCATTGCACATGTCCACATGTTGCATCATCAATGGCTGCTCAATCTATGGCCAAACATGGACACCGAAAGTGGAGGAAAATTGGTGTGGAGCAGCAAAGGAAATTACTGAGGTTCACCTCTTAAATGTGGCTCTAAATATTTGCACATTATGGAAAGTGCCTTCATTGCACACTTTTGTCCTTGAATCTGCTTTACATGCCTAGGGAACCTTTGTAAAGGACGTTTACTTACCTGAATCTCACTCTTCTCTTGTTGGCTCCAAGACCAGAGCCCGCAGCCTCTTGCCCCCTCTGCTCCAGTGGTTGGAGGCCCTCTGACATCATTACATCTAATGAGGGCCCATAGTCCTGCATTATACACAATGACAGCAAGGAACAGTCTCAAGCTGTAGTAGAGGGGAGAAAGGTGAGCACCGACCTTCAGTGGAACGGGGATCAGGTAAGTAAAAAGTCTGACATCATTACATCTAATCAGGGCCCATAGTCCTGCATTATACAAAAAAACACCAAGGAACAGTCTCAAGCCGGAGCGGAGGGGAGAAAGGTCAGCACCGACCTTCAGTGGAACTGGGATCAGGTAAGTAAAAAGTCCCTTTCACGATGCTCCAGCAAGCAGGTAGCCCCATTGCAAGGCTAGATTAACCTAGACCAGATAGACTTTAAGGAATGCCCCAGTCTTTCTTTGTACTAGCCTCCTAAAGGTATTCAGACTGGAAGAGAGATTCTCTACTGTGTTGCACAGAGTGTGAATATAACAAATAGAATTTGCCAAATGGAGGAGCGAAACCTAAGATGATCTCTTCAGTGAGCTGCTGCTTCTTCACTATCCAGTCATGTTGCTTTGACTTAGAGGAGAAAAATACAATAGGCATGGTCTATGGCAAGGGTATCTTGATTTCAAAACACTATCTGAACAGGATTACACATTTTGTTTTACAAGTGAGACACATTGGTGAATCCTTACACATCCCCTTACCTAAGACTAAATAGCAGCATGTAAGAAAAGAAGAGAAAAAAAAGGAAAAATATCAACATATATTTAATAATTTTCTTTCCTACAATTCTTTTTTTTACTTTCATGGTGCTATTTAGTTAGAGAAGGAAATGTGATTGGACCAATAGTAATAATCTCCCCTGGTCTAGTGTACGACATAGAATTATCCTTCATCCTGAGGATTTATATTACAGATTGCCTGTAGGTAAATTTGCAGTTCTGTGTGTTTCCATATAAGCTGTTTCAGCTTCAAGCGCCTAGTCATTGTGTCAGAGAGTGCGGCTACTATGCACACATAATTCCCTAATTCCCCGGAACACATTATATTGTTTGCTGTAGCTTTCTCCTCCTTGTTACTCCAAGCAATGACTCATCCGGATCTGAGCAATCCACAGCTGCAGTCAGGAGGTTTACAGTAGAAGCACATTGTGCTGGAATCTACGGTATAGAATAGAACAATAGCCTAGGCTAATAATCCAGTAAGAGCAATTGAAAAAATTACATTCACAATCCAAAAATATATCTCACACAGTCTGAAAACGTTATTTTACGAGTTATTCTTTCCAAAGAGTGTTTTTCCCGCTGTGCATATTTTTATTTTTATTGCCTTATTTTCATTTTTGTTGCTAGATAATTAGAGCAAACTCGGAATTTGTTCATTGAAATTCCGAGTTTGCTCTAGAAATAATGGCACATCAGTGCACCTAACAGTGCAACATGCAATCCCATGTGATACCGGATCGTGTTCAGGAATGCATTGGCTCCCGTATCGCAGAGATGTGAATGGGCCTAAGGGATTCTTACCTGCCTCATTGCATTCTTCTTTACACTGTACACTAAGCTGTGCATGCAGATGTTGGCACCCATGAGGGAGCTTGTGGACATCACATAGCTCAAACGGAGGTGAATATTTGCGGACTTCAGTTCAGCTTTAAAATCCAACTGTTCTTCTTTTGGAGGGACAGTCCTTCTGTTGGAACAAAACTCCCCAAACTTCTTTCCTCCTCAACAGTTTGCACAAAAAGGTGTCAGTCACTCTCATCTTAGAATTATGAGTTGATACAAAAGTGATGAAGATCCTTTTTAGTAAAATGGAGGAGAGCAAGAACTTCAACCTGTTTTTTTATTGCTGTTTCTGTCCCTTAGGGGGAGCCTTCAACTCTTCACTTCCTGTTTTGGTGAACAGGTCTCAGAACAGCACTCAATGTCTCTGCTTGCTAACAACTAGTCAGGGCAGCCAGTGCCAATTGGGCAAAAAGGGGAGTCCTCACCCTCCTCAGCTGATAATAATGTAAGGGGTTCTTTATTTGTAGCAAGGCTTCTATTAAGGGAAATGCTCCCCTAGATAGTAACATTAAATCAAATATATTATAATAGATATAGAATTCACTAATTAATTTTGCTCTGCCATCATTATTAGACAATTAAATGCATTTTTTAAATGGAAGCAGTACCTAATATTGACCTGGCATCCACCTCTTCCAGTCCCTGGCATCCACCTCTTCCAGCATGGCTGGAGTGTGAGAGGAAGAAGAAGCACAAGAAGCTAATTAGTGCAGGTGCTAACAATAAGAATTCTGATGGGGAGAGCAGAGTGTCAGAGAGACGAGATCTTCACTGTGCTTCTTCTCCTGTCACTGTCCAGTCATAGGTTGGGGGCATGTCCGGGATGACCTGGGCTGAGAACAAGTGGGTTGAATGATGCTGGTCATCAGACTGTGGACATTTAGTGGCAGAAAAAAAAATGCAGTAGATTCTCCTGATTGAAGCTGAATATGGTAGAAACAGGTTTTTTTTTAAATTATATCTTTTAATGGTCCAATTGTTTTTATCTGGCTTTGGTTGGTGTGCTGTATGAACGTAAAGGAAAACCTGTAGTGAAAGAAATATGGACTAGGAAACCTAAAATGAGTTACCTGGCTCTCTCTGGCTTTACCACTGCTTGACCTTGGCCAAACATACAAATCAGAATGTGAAAGGATGACCTCCCAGAGACTGGTTCAGAAAATACTGTAGCTGACCAGGTCAGCAGCAGCCTCAGCATTTCCACCGTGTAGGTTTCCTTCAAGTTTCCCTTTATTTTGTACAGGAAATAAATAAGTCTTCTCCGTCAAGCCATTGTTCATTGTTCTATGACTGTTATCTCCTGTTTGTTTTTTCTGATTCGCTCATACCCGGCTTGCTTCTCTTTGATTTCAGTTATCAGCTGTCGGTTCTGGGGTGTTTTCCATGTGGAGAAAGGAATCAGATATAATCAGACCGCGGAGGAAGCCAGGAAGACTTGTGGCGAGTTGGATGCGGAAATCGCTACCAAGGAACAGGTGGAGGAGGCTCGGGAATTTGGATTTGAGATCTGCAGGTACGGCACGACTATTCTCCAAAGGTGAACGGGAATGTGAAAAATAAAGGGTGGTAGCAATGTACCTTCGAAGCTGAACTCCATCCTCCCCTTCAGACTTGTACAATTGTACCGGCTCCTCTCATGGACTGACATTGCTTACTCTGATTTCACTACACACTGCAGGACGTCAGATAGAGCCAGACTCATTTCCTAGCTGGAGGACGTCCAGCATTATCTAGCCCCTGGGTAGGGAACCTTGGCACCCCAGCTGTGGTAAAACTACATGTTCCATGAGGCATATCAAGAGTGGCAGCTACAGATGTGACTTCTACAAGCATGATGGGATTTGCAGTTTCACTACAGCTGGAGTACTAAGGTTGCCTACCACCCTAATCTAGCCCTTTTCTCCCCAGCCTGACTGTCCCTGTCCCACCCCTTTCATTCATTGAACCGGGGTAGGAAAAATTTAAACTTTAGCTTTGCTGTACAGA